GAGTTCTCACGTTCAAAGCCCCAGATTCAGTGGATGAGGAGGCTTAGGAATATGCAATCTATTTTGTGGTGAACTATATACCGAGCTACTTGGTAACGAACTTTGGTGCGTGACGAACAAGTTGTCTGATGGAATGTTACTGGTTGTAAGAAAGGGTAAAGCGAGAGAGTTGGGTACGGAAGACAAAGAGTTAACCAAAGGTTGGGATATCTGAGCAGTAGCCCACTTATCACTACACACCCCGCTCGATGCAATGGGCAGCGTGGTCCTGATTATCCTGCGCGACGACCGATGCAGTATGGAATTACTTTTTGGTTGTGTATGCATTTGAGTTTGATGGACGGGTACTGCCAGGATGTACAGCCACTGCGCAGGAGAACAATTAAGGTTCTCGTCCAAAGCCTTTAATTCTGACAAGAACCTGACCGCAACGCAGCGGGTAAAGTGAAGTTGAGGCCCATTTACTTGGATCAATTACTCCTCTACCATTTTACCGACTGAGACGGTAACTCGAGTCGAACCCCTAACCTGGAGGACCAGAAGACTGGACTTTGTCTGACCTCTACCCATTGACCTTCCAGGCATGATTAGAGCTGCGGCTTGACAAAAGCCATTCCATATAGCTTGTTGGGTCAGAGAGGTGCACAAGCCATCACACCACGTCAAGGTGCAGTCTCGTCGTGATAGGTGCGGATAAGGAATTGTTTTCATCGAAAATAGGTCAAGGTTGTATGCAAAAAGTGGCGGGGCATACACTTTTTGCATAAGTGGCGGGACTTATGTGGGAAAGATCCGATGAGCCAATCATACGAGAGTTGGACGCATACAATTTGATCTCTTAACATGCGTCCGTGCGTGCATGCATGTGTGTGTATGCACATGAACCAGTGAATCCCAAATTCAGTTTCAGTTTGCACAACCATTAACCATGCTTTATCGTGCGCCGGTTTTGGTTGCTATCTTTCCGCTACCCATTTGGATGAACATTAGGAGAAAGGCAGGAAAGGTTGAAAGTAGGATCGAAGAGGAGATTGAAAAGTTCACTGGACTAACGATACAGAGAAATTGAGAAAATTCGTGTTTACGACACCCAGCCATATCACTTAGCCTTTCTAACCATCGGGTACGACCATCCCAAGGTCCCCATCCAGGGAGCCTAACGGGACCTGTGTGACCTAAACTGCTGGTTAGGGTTTTCATACCCTCATGCCAGGTCTTAGCTTGACCACCCTTGGCTTTCTTCCATACACTACCTGCCTCGGTAAACATCACTAGCCGTGGCGAACTATTTGGTGACATGCGTAACACATGCCCCAACCAGCGCAATCCATGGGGGTCGACCACTTGCTGCACTGGGCGATCGCGATTGCCCAAAACTTTTCGCTTGACCTCAGCATTGTTCGTCCGGCTGCCCCACCGGGTGAGATGTACCTGCCCAGATAACAAAACTTATCCATCTGCTCCATTACTTCTCCAGTTAGAGTGAGGCTGGGTGCTGGACCAACCTAGTCTTGTAGTAGCACTTTACACTTTGAAGGTG